GAAAGCATATATCCATCAGATATGCATATATCTGATGCATATATCCAGCATTCATCAGGAAAAAATAAATTTAAGTTTGAAATATAGGAGTACTAAATTATTATGGAAGCTTATGGCATATGGAAGCTTAAAAAACTTGGAATCTTGGCAGGCGAACTTCTTATAAAGCTCTCATTATCATCTCAACTTGACTCTAGGTGGCTTGACAAACTTCATTTCAAGCTTGTGTTTCTATGTCCTGGTACTACCTCTAAAGCAATTATTTCCAAAACAGAAAAATGACCTATTTTGAAGCCAGAAGTACTAAATCAGAAAACAACTTGAATTCATTCTATAGCTATTCATTGCCCATGCTATGCTTGCAGTACACAAAGCTATCTTAAAACAATTGATTTGGGACACAGAACAAGAAAAATAAATTGTATGAAAACAAAATATGGAATCTGTAGTCCACATTAGGTGGCTGTAACAGCCTCCAGGAACAGCAATAGCCAGTTCAACCTATCCAGTTCTCACAGCTACTAACAGCAGATCTCTCTGGGAAGAAAAAAGAAAGTAGAGATGTACAATTACACTTTCCCAGAACACCATCTCAGTCTTCAGCAATGCACAGCTCAAGAAGAAGTTTTGAGGCAGAGAATATTTCTGTATTTTACGGAGTTGCTGGACTTCTGTCTGTGACTTTCAAACTATGTGGGCCCTTAATATAAAAAAAAATACCTACTGACAAAGTACTCCACAAACAACAAAACGTACAGAAGGTGTTTCATCTGCAGTATGCTTTCTATATTTCACTTTCTACAGCTGAAATCTCACACACATACTGGAAGCAGTTTTCTATTTTCTCAAGTTTACCTTCAGAGCACACATGACTTAAAGACCTCCAGCATAGCCTCCTTCAGCCATCTCTTTTCTAGGCTAAAGACTCCCTGCAGAAAATCTATTCCATGCTTCTGACTGACCATCCTTACACTCTATTTCTGGAATCAGCAGATTACTTTTAGTTAGGGAAAGGAACACAAAAACCACAAGCAACAGTCAAGATATGAGTAAACCACAAATTAACACAATGGAGTATCAACGTTCTTGACTCTGGTGTAGTCCTCAAAGAAGCCTTCACAGATCTCCTTGCAAAAGTCAGCCTCGTACACAAACACAGTTGATTTCAAAGAGTTCTGAAAACCACAAACTTTTTTTTTTAATATGCTAGATTAACAATGGTTAGATTAAAGCTGCCAGCACATAACAAAAGTCTTTACTAGATGAAGAACCAAGACAGGACAAAGGAAAAAAAAAAAAAAGAAGCAAATATTTACAAGCTGAGAAACAGAGGAGTTTTACACCTGTGCTGCTTATGGCACACCTGAAACTACAGACCTTGTCAGAGGTGCAGAACTAATGCATATGACCTTCCAAGTCAGCATCTTTCCTCTCATTAAAGAAAATGAAGTCATGCAGTTCCCTTACCCTTACATCCCAATTCTAATACCAGAGACTCAACAACAAGTGGCCTGGACAAAGTCATACATGCAGTTCTCCTGTTATTACTGAAGTGTACACACTGAAGTGAAATATATGACCACAAGCACATTTGTGGTATAGCCATACCACGCTTCTACTTCAGCAGCACCATGACACTCCAACACTCACAGCAGCAGAGAAAGCATTTCCTCTGCTCACACAACCAGAAGCCTCCTCACTTCAAAGCAATTACAGGCCACCAAATGTCATACTTTTGCGTAGCAGGAGCAGACCATCTGAAATGGACTGACACATTACTACGAGGGAACCATGCAACTCTAATGCACAGTGATAAGAGCAAGAAGAAAGCATCAACACTGTGCCTGTGCTGGACTTACATCTGTAGCATAAGGTATCACGCTGTCATACAAGCAGTGCAAGGCAGAATTTGTTAAGCTGCCTACTTAACGTTTGTACAAGATTCTGCAGAGGTTTGTATCTGAATAAATCCAGAAGAGATTTCCACAGGGACACTGAAAGAACACTGTGAGCTTCCAGGTATCACCAGCTTAAACACAAGGCATACTTACAGCACTGTAAGCAAAAAGCCTGTCAGGACAATCATTTTCTTCTAAGTACTTTCACTTATTTTACTCATTTTATTTTCACTTATTTCTCATCATTTACTGAGATCAAATACTTCAAACAGCTAAATCTGAAATCAAATTCAAGCATTAAGAAAATCCCTAATGTTTAAGGATCGAGTTATTCAACTTATTTCTGTTCCTTCATTCACAGCTGTTTGCAGACTTCCACACTTCCTCCCAACATTTTAGTTTTCAAATCAAAATTACCCTTTCCCCCCCAGAAAAAATTACAATAATTAACAACTTATTCAGCTCCTAAAGCCATTCAAATTACAGAAATTGTAATTGGACATAAATCACGTCAACACAAAAAAAAAAAAAAAAAAAAAAAAAAAACCAGAACAATGAAACAAAACCTGATCCAGAAGAATAATCCACAGCATAAAGGTAGAAGGAGTGGCAACATAGGTCCACCTAAAGTAAGGCTATCTGCTAACAACTAAAGCTCTTATTTTAACCAGACAAAGCCCAGCAGGAAATCCAAGGTCAACAGAGCTTAACCAAAACAACTACAGTCCAGCAATACTATATTTTGTAGGCAGAAATATCACAAGGGAACTGAGGAACTGGAATGCATTTTGTTTGCGAAACTCCTCTACAACATCTGCAATAATCAAAGTAGTCTCCCATCAGGCCTGAGAGCAGAACTGATCAACAGACTGAAGAACTTCTTGCAATATTCACTAGAAGATGTATATTGAACTCCTTTAACACCTTGAATTAACCTACAGTTAGCCTGTATTTTCTTAAATATGCTGTACCACCAAGAACAGAATCAAGAAAAACAAAACACAATTTCTTGCTTGAGTCAACAGTATAAGCTACTCCCAGGGGAAAAGTTAGTAACTTACACATCACAATTTTAAACAATGGAAATGAAGTTAGAGTAAAATTTAAGTTCACAACTTAATGAATTATGACACAGGATACTATTTGAGAAAACTGAAGTATGTTCTAATGCTTTATATACCCAACTACAGCAAGATTTTACAGCACAGTCAATGTTTCTTCAGAAACTTCTTGCAAGAACCTCCATTGTCATTTGATTACAGAACTAATATTGTCCCTGTATAAGATACTGAATTCCTTCAACATGTCCTATTAATTAATCTCTAAATCTGAAGGAAAATCAAGATCTGAACGCGTGTCTCATCTGTTTGGAGATATGAAGAGTTAAGTCATCAAGCAACTATAGACATATTTTACTAGACATGTGTCAAAAACCTTAAAACTTACACTAAGATGTTATCTTCAAAACTCCACGTGTATTAAAAATGTATCTGAAAATACATTTGCTTTTTGCATGGGGGACAGAGGAGATTAGGACCTCCATAAAGCAAAACCAAAGAACAAAACCAAATACCCCATTCAGCTTCATACTGAAGAAATATTCCCCTGCAAAAGACAACTACAGGAAAAAAAAAAAAAAAGTGAGTTGACCGCAGAACCAAGAAATGGTACAATCAGGAGCTGAGAAAGGACCACAGAAGTCCTTAATCTCCTCAATCACCTTTTTTTTTTCAGTTACATATGAAGTCACCAATTTTTCTGCTGCACAATTACTGTGCCTGTTCATAATAGCCTAGTGAGATTACAATAATTAGCATTTTACAGCACAATGTTCTGAACTGAATGCATTACTGTGGTAACTGTACACTTACATTTGCTGCAGAATTGTTTACATTGTTTAAAAACCAGGATGCTAGATAGAAAATAGCATCAGCAAAAGTTAAGGACTAGTAATTAACGAGCCTGATTTTCTTCCCTTTTTTGTCACATTTGCCATAAAAACCTCAGATACCAGATCAAGAATGGATTTTTTTTGTTTGCTCAAGTTTTTCTTTTTAAGCAGAAACTAACCAAAGGTTTTTATCTCACATACAGTGGCTCTCATTCTGACTTAACTGCTGTTTTATCCCATCCACTTACTTGAATATTGTTTCCTGCCTCAGGCCAAGGAAAAGCAGCTGCTCTTACACCCATCTGTACCTCTACTGAGGCAAAAGCCAACCACCAGCTGCCTAAGCCCACTGGCACCGCTCCACTCGTTTCAAGGATCAGAAAGCAAACTATGCTTGCTTTCCACACTCCTGCATGGAGAAGGGCCTTGTGCGAGGCACGCACTGCAGTGCCAGGCAGACCCAGGGCAAGGCCTGAGCTGCTCCGCATCACCACCTTCACAGCGCAGGGTGACAGAAATACTCTGCATCACGCTGCAGCTGAGTTTATTTTTTGTGAAAAGTGCTTAAGCTTAAGAACTGCTACTTTAGTAACTCCCAGGTAACTTCTGTTCCCGCTGTCGCTCACGTCTCAAAAAGAGCACAAGCAGCTACAACCTACAGCTCAGCAACGCCCGAACAGACGCTGCTTTCTTCGAGTCACCTCTTTTCCCCTTACTCTCACACAAGAAAGCGTGACGATGCTTTCTGCATGAGGACGCGCTCGGCCCAGCGCAGCACCTCGGTGCCCGTCCCGCCCTGTACGGCAGCAGCCGCCGGCGGCGGACCGGCAGCGGAGCAGGTGCGGGGTGCGTGCCGACACCGACGGCTCGCCCCGACGCTGCTTCCAGTCACGTTACGTCAGGCACATCCTACCTGCGCCGAGAAATGAATGAACCGCAGCGTCGGGAGAAGCCCCGCGGGCACCTCGTGCCGCGTGCTGGCCGCCGGCGGACAGCAGGGGGCCGCCAGCCCGCCGCCAGCGCCCCGAGCTCCGGCCGACCTACGGAGCTCGGGGCCAGAGCGGGACCGCGGCTCCCGCTGCCCGGCACTTGCCCGGGGTTCCCCCCGGCCGTGCGCAGCGCCGCTCCCAGCCCAGCCCTCCCCGCCGCCAGCTCCAGCCCGGAGCCCTCCCGCCCCCGGAGCCACCGCCCGGCCCGGAGCCGCCCCACACCTGTCCGAGAGAAAAGGATCGGGCGGCTGCAGCCAAGAGAGGCAGCCGACTGCGCTGCGCGCCGGATATGCGTTCTCGCCCCTGCTGCCCAGACTGAAGGAACACTCCCGAGCTTCCACCCCTCGTTCTCCCCGGGACGACTTCTTCCGTGCGCTGATGACAGCTGCGCGCTGCGCATGCGCGTAGCCCTCGCACGCCCGAGGTAGGGAGGACCGGGAGAAGAGAGAAGCTCGGAGGCCCAGCGGGAGGAACACGTGACGGGGACGAGCGCTCACGTCACGTGCCCAGCGGCAGCCGATGCCGGCACCGCCCCCGGGCGGAGCAGCTGCGGGCGGGGGAGATGCGCTGCGCGCGGCGGGTCACGTGGCGCCGGCTGGCAGGCGGCCGGGGGGTCGGTGTGCTGTGGGACGGCTGCTGCCCCGCGCCGGGCGACGCGCGGGTCTTGCAGTGCGGCGCGGGCCGGGTTTGGCGGTATGCAGTCTTCGGTCAGCTCTAGTCGGCTTCTGTGTGCCAGTCCTGTACCGTCATGTCCCGTCTTGCCTTGTCCCAGTCTTTAACGTGACTTTTATCCCCGTATGGCAGAGGCTGAGCCCTACTATGCTGTCATGTATTTAGTTTTTATCAGTTATCGCTGTTTATCTTCCAGCTTAGCTTTCAGGCATTTATGTTAAAGTAGCAAAATGTGACCAGAAGATAACTAAAGGAGAAGTCCCTTCAGGCGTTGGGATTTGGGATTGTTCAGCTTGGAGAAGAGGTCTTCCAGTAGAGGGTCCTAGGAGAGGGACTGACTTTGTACAGAGGTAGTGATAGCACCAGGGAAGGTGGATTTAAACCGAAAGAGGGGAGGTTTTGGTTAGATGTTAGGGAGAAATTCTTCACTCAGAGGACCATGAGGTATCAGGACTCACCGATTGCCTTTCCTTTAATGGGTTTATCTCAGAGTACCTGTGGGATCAAGTGCACCCTCAACAGGTTTGCAGATGAGATTAACTTGAGTGGTGTAGTTGATATGACAGAATGAAGGGATGCCATCTAGAGGGACCCAGAGTAACTTGAAAGGTGGGCCCATGTGAACCTAGTGGTGTTCAACAAGGCCAAGTGCTAGGTGATGTGCTTGCATCAGGGAAATTTCAGAAATGTATAGAGACTGGGAGAGGAAATCCTTGAGACCAGCCGGGCCAAGAAGAACTTGGTGGTCCTGGTAGATGATAAGCTGGACATGAAGCAGCAACGTGCACTTGCAGCCAGCAATGCCAGCTGTATCCTGGGCTCTATCAAAAGATGGGTGGCCAACAGGGCAAGGAAGGTGATTGGGCCCACTCTGCTCTACCTTCATAAGGATCACTGCATCCAGGCCTGGGGCCCCTAACACAGAAAAGATGTGGAGATGTTGGAACAGTTCTAGAGGAGGGCTGCTAAGATGGTCAGAGGGTTGGAGCATCTCTCCTATAAAGACAGGCTAATGGAGCTGGGCTTCTTCAGCTTGAGAAGACTCCTGGGAGATCTGTGAGGTGAGGGTGGTGAGGTACTGGCACAGCTGCCCGGAGAAGCTATGGATGACTCCTCCCTTTAGGCATTGAAGTCCAGATTTGATGGGTTTCTGAACAACATGATCTAGTGCCTGATTTAGTAGTTGACAATCATGCCTGGAGCAGGGGATTGGAACTAGATGATCCAAAGGATCCTTAACAGTTCCTTCCAGCCTAAGCCATTCTGTGGTTTGTTGACATTCTACTGGCATAAGTTGTTTGTTTTCCTAACTGAGATCTCAGCAAGTTTTTATGCACTTTCCTTTTGCCTTTCATGTCTGGGACTATACATATGGGTTAGTGTTGGTTAGTAACACTAGTTACAAGACAGCATCTTTCATCTGGGAAGTAAAGGTTGGGGGCAGCTTGGGTTGTAGTGATCATGAGATGGTGGAGTTCAAGATCCTGAGTGGAAGAAGCAAAGCAAAAAGTAGGATTGCTGTCCTGGACTTTAGGAGAGCCAACTTTGATCTCTTCCGGGACCTACTTGGAGCTATCCCATGGGCTTGGGTGTTAGAAGGTGAGGGGGCCTCCAAGAGCTGGTCAGCATTTAAGCAGCTCTTCTTCCAAGCTCAGGATCGGTGCATCCCTGTGAGCAAGAAATCAGGAAAAGGTGACAGGAGACCTGTGTGGATGAGCAAAGAGCTCGTGTGCAAGCTCGAAGGAAAGAAGAAGGTCCATGAAATGTGGAAAAAGGGTCTGACTACTTGGGAAGAATATAGGAATGTAGTCAGGGTCTGCAGGATGCAACGAGGAAGGCTAAAGCCCGCCTGGAATTGAATCTGGCAAAAATGATAAAGGATAATAAAAAAGGCTTTTTAAGTATGTTAACAGCAAAAGGAAAACTGGAGAGAATGTGGGCCCTTTACTAAGTGAGGGGGTGTTCTGGTAACGGGGGATGCTGAGAAGGCAGAGATACTGAATGCCTTCTTTACTTCTGTCTTCAGTGAAAAGGCTCTCCCTCAGGTTTCCCACACCCTGGAGGTTAGTGAGAGGATCTGGGGAATGGGAGACTTTCCTTTAGTCAGGGAAGAGGTGGTCCGTGAGCGCCTAGGCAGCACTAAGGTCCACAAATCCATGGGACCTGATGGGGTGCATCCACGTGTGCTGAGGGAGCTGGCAGAGGTCATTGCCGAACCTCTCTCCATCATCTTTGAGAGGTCTTGGATAATGGGGGAGGTCCCCAAAGACTGGAAGATAGCCAATGTCACTCTGGTCTTCAAAAGGGGCAAGAAGGAAGACCCGGGTAATTATAGGCCTGTCAGCCTCACCTCTGTCCCTGGAAAGGTGATGGAACAGCTTGTGCTGGATGCCATCTCCAGACAACTGGGAGAAAAGGAGGTTATCAGGAGTAGTCAGCATGGGTTCACCAAGGGGAGGTCGTGCTCAACCAACCTGGTGGCCTTCTATGATGTTGTCACATGCTGGGTGGATGGGGGGAGAGCGGTAGATGTAGTCTACCTTGATTTCAGCAAGGCATTTGATACCGTCCCCCACAACATCCTTATAACATCCTTATGAGGAAGTATGGGATAGACGAGTGGACAGTGAGGTGGGTTGAGAACTGGCTGACTGGCAGAGCGCAGAGGGTCGTCGTTGGCGGTGCAGAGTCTGGCTGGAGACCTGTAACCAGTGGTGTCTCCCAGGGGTCGGTGCTGGGTCCTGTCTTGTTCAACATCTTCATCAATGACCTTGATGAGAGAATAGTGACCACCCTCAGCAAGTTTGCTGATGATACGAAGTTGGGAGGATTGGCTGACACGCCTGAAGGCTGTGCTGCCATTCAGCAAGACCTGGACAGGCTGGAGAGCTGGGCAGTAAGAAACCAGATGAGGTTCAACAAAAGCAAGTGTAGAGTCTTGCATCTGGGGATGAATAATTGCATGCACCAGTACAGGCTGGGGGATGAGCTGCTGGAGAGGAGCTCTGCAGAGAGGGACCTGGGTGTCCTGGTGGACGACAGGTTGGCCACGAGCCAGCAGTGTGCCCTTGTGGCCAAGAGGGCCAATGGCATCCTGGGGTGCATTAAAAAGAGCGTGGCCAGCAGGTTGAGGGAGGTGATCCTCCCCCTTTACTCTGCCCTGGTAAGACCTCATCTGGAGTACTGCGTCCAGTTCTGGGCTCCCCAGTACAAAAAAGACAGGGATCTCTTGGAAAGAGTCCAGCAGAGGACCACAAAGATGGTGAAGGGCCTGGAGCATCTCCCCTATGAAGAAAGGCTGAGTGAACTGGGTCTGTTCAGCCTTGAGAAAAGACGACTGAGAGGGGATCTAATCCAGGTTTATAAATATCTGAGTTGTGGGGGCCATAGTGGTGAGGCCAGTCTCTTTTCGTGGAGACAAAGCGAAACGGACACAAGCTGCAGCATAGGAAGTTTCACACGAATGTGCGCAAGAACTTCTTTATGGTGAGGGTGACGGAGCACTGGAACAGGCTGCCCAGGGAGGTTGTGAAGTTTCCTCTGGAGATATTCAAGTCTTGCCTGGACGCCTACCTGTGCGACCTGGTGTAGAGAACCTGCTTTGGCAGGGGGGTTGGTCTCAATGATCTCTAGAGGTTCCTTCCAACCCCTGCAATTCTGTGATTCTGTGATTCTGTGACACTGTATAGCATTTAATCCAAACTAGTTCAGAACGTATATATTGTTCTTGAATGCGAGTAACTGCTACATTGTGTAGCAATACAAGGAAATCCTTTCAAAATTGTAAGCAGTGTGTTTGCTTAGCGTGTCCTTAGCATAGCTATCTAAAGATGTGCTCAACTTTTGAGGAAGAAACCGTTCGCAGGTACAATTCCACTGCAATACTACCCGAAATTCACCAGATGGCAGCAAATACCAGGAATTAACGCTATCCTCCCTCAAGACAGAGGCAATGAGAAATACTTTGTTCCTGTTACTTCTGTCCAGGCTATGCAGGTTGTTGCCGTTACTGTTACACCATCTTGAGCTAAGAATCAAAACATGAATGCTCACTGTCAGGATGTAATGCTAACTGAAATTTTCACCAGTGTGCAATTCAGTGGTGCTTGAATGTACATTGGGTAGGCTACAGAGGGAGCATAAAGGATATTTTTAACGAAGTAAGTGTTGTCAATTTTATATCTTTGTCATCATGTCCTCCTCCTGAAATTGTTAATAGCATTATGTGAGCTTGTATCTCCTACCAATCTGGAAATTTATTCACATATGATACATACATATAATTCAATATTGATTTTTCTTATTCTTGACATTTTATATTAAACAGAGGAGAAACCTTATTGTGTATAATGTTGATCACCTTCATGAAAAAGCTTACCTATCCAGAGAGTGTTCCTTTCAGCCAATAGCTCTTTTTCCTCACTTATACACACACACACACACACATACACACACACACAGATATTAGGATAAAGTAGAAAGACTGTATGTAAAAGATGCTTGTGAGACTGACTTGCCCAAGAACAGCAGTGGAGCAGTGCCTTTAAGGTCTCCTCTAGTGTGGAGTATCAGTAGCCCAAATTCTGGTCTCCCAGCCAGCGCAGATCAGCTATCAGACCAGTGTTGTAGATACACCTTTAAGTCTCGATTCCTAGCAGTAAGCAAGCAGGCTGCCAATGTGCACTGCTTCCCCCTTTCTTTCACTCTCCCTTTCTGGCCCCAGGGTGTGGGCACACATAATAACGGGGCGATAAGGGAACTGGCATTACTAGGACTAAGTTGCTGGGTCACTCTGAAGGTGCGAG